CTGGGTCTGTGAGTGATACATTTCTTCTGTCTTCATACATTTTGGTTTCACTTTCTTAGTGTTTCTCACCTGACCAACACACCCAATACTAATTCTCCCTCAAGTCGGGATTCTCTGAGACAATGGCCCTCTTGGTTTGCGGCCATTCTCCAGGTGGTGAGACTCGTCCGCTGCAGTCAGTTAAGTCTTGCTATTGGGTAAACTGGTTTATCCCATCTTACTATCATTCTTTTTTTTTTTTTTTCAAATTATTTTGCTTATTTTAGAACTTTTACTTTTCTCTATAAAATTTAGAATAGCCTTGTTTGTATCTATAAAGTTCTTACTGTAACACTGGTGGCAGCTGCATTGTGTCTATAGTTCAAGTTGGGAAGAACTGATCCTCTTTATCAACCAATTTTTTTGAGATACCATATAACTTTATATCTTTACTGACTATCCCAATCTATGAATGTGATGCTTCACTCCATTTATCTGATGTTCTTGGATGGCTTTCATCAGTGTTGTGTGGTTTTCAGTACGTGTATCATCAACATGTCTTATTAGATGCTCACTGAAATACTCAATTGCTTTTGGACAAGTGTAAGCTAGATTGTATTTTCAATTTTAAAAAGATGTGTTAATTTTTATTTGACGTCTGAAATTTGAAAGGGATATAGATATGTATCTTTCATCTGTTGGTTCATTCCCCAAATGGCCACAATGGCTAGATCTGAGGTGATCTGAAACTAGGAGCCTCATCTGGGGCTCCTGCATGGTTGCAGGAGCCAAGGACCTGAGCTATCTTCTGTTGATTTCTCAGGATAGAAGCAGGGAGCTGGACTGGAAGTGGAACCAATGGGACTTAGACTGACACTCACATGGAATTCTAGCGCTATAGGTAGAAGCTTAGTTTACTGTGCCACAGTGTTCCATATTTTCAATTTTTATGTTAACTTGTTTGTTGTTAGTATATAGAAATATGTAATTCTAAATATTTATAAATATTTGCGTTCTATGGTATAGTAGATAATCTGCAAATTGGAATAGCTTTACTTTTTCCTTTCTGATCTATATGCCTTTAGTTCTTTTTATTGCCCTATTGCAGTGAATAGAATTTGTTGTAGTGCCTTGAATAGGAGGGCTGAGAGTGGGACAATCTTGCCTTGTTGCTGATCTTGACAGAAAATCTTCAAATTTCTCACCATTACATATGGTCTCAGTTGTAGGGTTTTTGTAGATGTTCTTTATTAAGTCAAAAAGTTCCGTTCTATTTCATTTTTCCTTAGAGTTTTTAAAAAGAATTGTGCATGATTGTTGAGTTTTGTCAATTTTTTTTCTGCTTGAATTGTGTGACTGTGATTTGTCCTGTTTAGCCTGCTGTTTATACATCACACTGACGTTTTTAGCAGCTTTATTGAGATATAATTAGTGATTCTCAAAATGTGTCCCTTTAAAATGCACATTTCAGGAGTTTTGGTGCGGTGCTTGAGTTGTAAAATCATCACAACTCAAGCCATGTTAGAAATTTGCTTCAACTCAAGGAATCTTCCATCTCCTGCTAGCACTCATTCCTCATTTCCTTCCCAAGCTGAGCCTTCCCTGGCTCTAGCCAGCAGCTACTCTACCCTGTCCCTATAGACTTGAATGTGCTAAAGATTTCAGATACTAATTGAGTCAGTCAGCGTAAGGCTGAGTGTGACTGGCTTAGCATGTCTTATTTAAATGTTTGGTAGAATTCTCTAGTGAAGCAATCTGGGACTGGATATTTCTTTTTAAAAAAATGAATTCAATGTACTTAATAGTTACATGGCTATTCATTTCATACTAGGTGAGTTGTACTAATTTGTGTTTTTTAAGGAATACATCTTTGTTTTGTTTTGTTTTGTTTTAAAGAAAGATTTATTTTTGAAAGGCAGAAAGTTACAATAGAGAGAATAGGAGAGACAGACATCTCCCACCTGCTGGTTCACTCCTCAAATGACCACAATGGCTGGAGCTAGGCTGATTCGAAACCAGGAGCCAGGAGCTTCTTCCAGGTCTCCCACATGGATGCAGGGACCGAAGCATATGGGTCGTCACTTGCTGCTTTCCCAGGCTGTTAGCAGGAAGCTGGATTAGCAGTGGAGACGCCATGACTTGAACCAGCATCCTTACGGTGCTCCTATCTGCACTTCTGGGATGCTGGTGTTCTAGGTGGAGGTTTAACATACTGTGCCAAGGCACCCACCCTGGAGTTGGTTCTTTACTGTCAAACTTATGTGTCTCAGATTGTAATATATCACTGTTATTCTTTTGATGTCTTCACGGTCTGTAATGATATCCTTTGCTTCATTGCTGACATTCATAAATTATATTATCTTTGTTTCTCCTTACTAGTGTTACTGGAGGCTTGTCAATTTTATTGATGCCTTCAAAAACTTAGTTGTTTTGTGATTTCTCTGTTTCACTCATTTTTGTTCTCATGTCTGTTATTTTATTACTTTTGCTTCTTATTTTACTCTTGTTTGTGTAAATTCTTGAGATCAATGCTTACATTGTTGATTTGAGACTTTTTCTCTTTTCCAATATGAACACTTAGTGTTATAAATTTCCCCCTCATAACTACTTAGTATTGCTCTACAAATTGTGTTGTTATATTTTCATTTTCTTTCAATGCAATTTTGATTTCCTTTGAGATTTCCTCTTTGCCTGTTTTTGCTCTTATGTTATGAGATTCAAATTCCTGCCTAATCCCTTTGCTTACCTGGTTTTCTTGGACACTACTTCAGTAGCAGGGCCTGACCCTGCCTCACTGTTGATGGGTAGGGTTGGAAGTCCCAGATCCTCCACTTGGCTTTAGTTCTTATCTGAGATGGCTCCTTGTTCCTGGTGGTTAGATGTGGGGCCTCTAGGTCCCTATCAGGCTCCAATGACGTCATCCTGGCTGCCGTGGGTTTGGGTACCTCATTACCCTTCCTCACCAGGACTCCAGTGTCAGAATTAGAGGAGGCAGCTTCATTATCACTAAGCAGCCCCGTGGCGCTGACGTTCCGCTTGGCTTCCTCTGACAACACCTCATGACAGGGGAGGGTCCCTTTCTCTGCAGGGTGAACATGGAGTGCTGACTTCCCATGCACTGGCCTCTACTGACACATGGTGGGTATACAGGAAAGAGGTGGGAGTCTAGGGCTCCCTTCTCTGATGCCACCCTAGTGGAGACTGGGGAAGCTGGGGCCACACCTCGTTACAGCCTTTAGAGCATGCCCACCCAGCCTTCGCTGCCTTAATGGCTGTGGGTCTGCAGTGCCTGGTTGCTGACTTCTGCCCCCAGTCTGACTTCTAAAGGCAAAGGAAAGCACAGGAATGTTACTACTGCTGTTTTTTTGGATACTCAACAGTTGGCTTTCTCGCCCTCTTTCAGCATCTTACGGTTGGTTTACGTGAAATGTTGGGCTTTTAGTTATTCCTTGCAAGAAAAAGCAGATTTGGTCTGTCTTCCAGGCAGCACAAGGGTTGGGATGTGTTTTCATGGTTGCCAAATGTTGGAGCATGTTTGCGTAGAGGCTTGAGGGATCCAGGAGAGAGGAGAATTGCTATAACGCAGTCTGAGCAGGTGTCGCTGTCAGTGCTGCAGGCAGGTGTGGCCTGAGATGCTAGTAGGTTATTCACACAGACTGGGGTCTTCTCAGCAGGCAGTCCTTGGGTTTGTCACTCTAGCCCTCCTCTGCTCCTGTGTCTGAGTCTGGTCCAGGCTCCCAAGTCACTGGCTCCTTGCTCAATGCAGCCAACAGGCAGAGACTGCTGGGAGATTGGAGGAGGAAGCGACTGTTGAGGTGGGGGTGGCGGAAGCCTGTTCTCTCCATTCCATCTGCGGGACGCATCTTGCCCCTTTTCTGGTTTCCTTACTCGCCTTCTCTGTTGGTGGAGGTTCCCTTCCGCTGCTGATCTCTGGCTTCCCTTGGTGTCTCAACATCTCCATTTCCACGTAGCTGCTTCCTGGAGAGAAGCACTCAATGTAGTTTCTGTTCTCTTCTTCAGCCTCAGCTGATTCAGTGAGAGGTTGAAGATGCGAAGTCAGCAGCTGAGACCAAAGTCAGGAAGAGTGAATGGGGTTGGAGGAGGAGGAGGTTGGAGGGGCATAGGGGTAAGCTGAGTCTTCTGGGGTGTACACAGGTGTCAAGTGCTCCTATCTGCAGGACATAGGACTTCCTGCGGACATGTTCAGATGCTTGGGGGCTGGCTGAGTGGGAAAGCAGGCTTGGGACTTGGTCAGTGGTGGTAGACAGGTGTCAGGGGAGCCCGTGGTTTCCCACTTCTTTGTGTGACCCACCCCGCTCGAGTTTGAGTAGGAATCTCAAAGGATTATCAGCTAATAGTATGTAGCAAAAGTGACAGATTTCACTTTCTGGGTCATGTTGCAGGTGAAAACTATGATGACTCGTGAGGGCATTGGGGCAGGAATTGTCCTTGTTGGGAAGCCCACAGGGAAAGGAAGTCCAGGAAACCTGTTGGAGCTGAAGATGACCTCTGAGAGGTGAGGGTGGCCCCTTGCTGATAGCCAGGCCTCGGCCCTGTGGCCACCAGGAAGTGAGCTCAGCCAGCACTAAGGGGTCTTAGAAACTGACCCTTCGCTGGTGGAGTCTCCACATGAGCTCCCAGCTCCACGACACCTTGAGATGGCCTGGCTGAGCCTGCCCCAGACCCTGAGACTGTACACAAGTAATTTGTTAGGAAACTCGCCGATCAGGTGAGTATGGCAGAATGTGTCAGGGTGTTTCCTGGACCACAGCATCTCAGCCAGGGAAGAGGGGAGTGAGAACATGGAGTGTTTGGCTAATGTGGGATCAGGACAGGCCCCTGCCAGTGAGGTGGCACTGCCTTTATGAGTCTGTTTGATTTTACTATAATCAAATGTCCGAGACTAAGTATTTTATAAAGAGAAGAGGTTTCTCAAGCTCTATCTGAATGCTCTAAGTTTGCTTTTTTGTCAATGGCGTTTTCTTTCTGGTTTACTCTAGAGAGAAGATTGGCGACAGGCTATGCATTTAGAAAACAAGGATGGCAGGCTGGCCCCCAGCATGCTGGAGGTGGAGCTGCATCAGAAGTCGGCCCCCAGAGGGCTGGGGCCAGCTGGACTCACCTCTAAGAGCCACAGACCCCTGCAGGGAGTCAGCGGACCGGACCCTTCCAGCCCCCACCCTGGGTGGGCTGCTGCTGAGAACTGCCGGACCCCTACCCACCAGAGTTTTGGCTCATTCCTCTTGGAGGAGAGGTGAGTTTAGTTTTATGTTGCACGTGTGGAAGTCACAGATGCTGAATTTCTGTGAGACGCTTTTTTCTTTTGGTGTGAAACAGTTCCAGAAATGTTGCTAAGAATTTTTCCAACATTTGATCACTTTCTTGGTCTGTTTTGAAAGAATGATATGGCAGAAATATGTTGAATTTAGCTCCAGAAGATATAATATAAAGTAGAAAAGAGATTTTGTGACATAAAGGATTAGCATTAAACATATTATTTGAGATATTCAAAGTATTGTATGATCTTGGATAGCATTTATATTCTAGAATATAATTTATTTCTATAAATATAGGAAGTAGATGGATATTGTTTTTCAAGCCAGAAAAATCTGAATCCATGCAAAATATTTTAAACTTTGAAATATCTGCTGATGTAATAACAAAAAACCAAATTCATCATTTGCAATTCCACACACATGTCCTTTTAATGACGAAAGCTTCCTCTGAGGGCCTATATCTGTGTTGGGGCTTGCTGCTTACTTTGCAGATCTGAGGACTGCCGTCTCTCCAGAGAATAATTTCTGCCCAGAACATCAAAATCTTAATCCATGCAGTAATAACTGTGAGCCTTAAAAAAAGAAGAAGAAAAAAAAGGCAAACCAAACCCCAAAACCTAAGAGCGAAAAACACAGAATGGAGCAAGTGTGGTCAAGGTCTTTCCCCTGCTGCTATTCCTCTCCCATCCCCCAGGGGGCAGCACTACGCATGTACCCAGACTTCATGCTAGGATGTTGCTTGTTCCTTTTGTTTAAGATGCATTTGAGATTTGTTTATGAAGTGTATAGGTTTTTTTTTTAAACTTATGTGTTTATGTTCTATTTTCACATGATCTTTCCAAAACTGTGTTTATGTTAAATTTTATTTATTTGAAAGAGAGGGGGATTGACAGGAAAGGAAGAGGGAAGAAGAGGAAAATGAGAGGTGAGAGAGGGAGAGAGAGAGAGACACACACAGAGAGAGAGAGAGAGAGAGAGAGAATCTTCCATCCTTCCATCCACTGCTCCCTCTCCAGAGGCCAGGGTGGCATCAGGACCCTGGAGCTCCTTCACGAATCTCAGTACCCACCATATGGATAGCGGGCTGGGTGGCCACCTGTCCTCGCTGGCCTCTGCATGCCTGGGGAGAGTGGGATGACTGCTGGCTGCTAGAGGGACCTCCTTGACTGCTCCACCCAGGAGCCTCTTATCCTTCCCCAGCAGGGTTGCCAAGAAAGGAATCGCAGGGCACTCATTTCTCTAGCATCCCATTAGCAGACCCCTGGGTCCAAGTGTTATTAACGCTGTATTAGAATCATCAGTTAGAATGTAAGACACTGAAGTAAATTTGAGTTTCAGATCAATAATGGATGTTTTGGAGAAAATTATTTGCTCTAAAAAAATCACTTGGAGTATAACACCTACTCGGAGGGTCATCGTTGTGGGACAAAATGTAACCAGTGTTGGGCAGAGTCTGGGGAGGCTCTCACTTATGTGCAGCGATTTTTGTTGGGAATGTAAAAGGGCACAGCCACCATGTGAAGCGGTATGGTAGTTCCTCAGAAGACTGACAATAAGGGCAGAGTTGTGGCACAGTGGGTCAAGCACCCCCTGCCATGTCAGCATCCCATACAGCAGGGCCTGTTGGTTCAAATCCTGACTGTTCCATTTTCTGTCCCGCTCCCTGCTGACGCACCTAGGAAAGCAGAGACTGGCTGAACTACTGCTACTGCTGGTACCCATGCGGGAACCCGAGCCAACTTTGTGGCTCCTGGATTAATCTGGTCCTTTAGGGAGTGGGTGGACAATCTCTGTCTCTCTATCTGTAATTGCCTTTTGAATTAAAAAAGAAAAAGAAAAGAAAGTTAACATAATCATCTTCGTGGATGCCTGAAATTGCAGATAGTACACTGTGTTTTTTCTGTACATACATACATCCCCATGATAAACTTTAATTCATAGACACAAAAGGTGATGAACAACAGTAACTGACAATGGGACAGTTATGGTAAAATTAGTGAAAACTCCTGAATGATTTATTTCTGGAATATTCTATTTATTTTTTCTGGGTTATAGCTGAAATTGTAAAACTGGGCATGAGGGGAGGGTCTCTGTGCCCTTAGATTCTGCAATTTCACTTCCGGGTATATATTTCAAAAAAATTGAAAATAGGGTGCTAGAGTTGGGGTGATTTTGTCCCTCCCAAAATGTGTTTTGGAATTTAAATTCCAATGAGATATAATCCAAGTGGATGAATCACGAGGATGGAGCCTTATGATTGGCATTAGTTATGTTATTTAAAAAAGATGGTAAGAGCTGGCTGGGTCTCTTATGGCCCATTCTGCCATGTGGAGACAAAGTGAGAAGCCCTTCCCAGACAGCCAGTGCCTTGGTCTTGGAATTCTCAGATTCCAGCACTCTAAGAATGCAACTTTGTTCTCTATCAGTTACTCAGTTGAAGATATATATTTTAAAAAAAATTATCTACTTTTAATGGAAAGGCAGATTTACAGAGAGGAAAAACAGAGAGAGACATCTTCCATCTGCTGGTTCACTATCCAAGTGGCTGCAACAGCCAGAGCTGAGCCAATCTGAAGCCAGGAACCAGGAGCTTCTTGCAGGTCTCCCATGTGGGTGTGGGGTCCCAAGGCTTTGGGCCGTACTCTACTGTTGTTCCAGGCCACAGGCAGTGAGTTAGATTGGGAGTGAAGCAGCCAGGACACGGACCGTGCAAACAGGGGATCCCAGCATGTGCCAGCTGAGGATTTAGCCACTGGACTATTGCATAGGCCCTTGAAGACATTTTGCTAAATCTCACAGTCTTCCCCTTTTTTTGTTCTCACTCTCTTATTCCTATTCCTTATTTAAATGCAGCATGATTTAGATCTGAGATCTCAGAAAAGTTTGAATTAATGTCACCTCCTTATCTTAAATCACCACACAAGAATGAATAGGCACGGTAAAATACATGTGGGTGTCAGGCTGATAAACTTTATTTTTCATTTTTCTTTTTTGGGGGGTCAGTATTGTGTAGGTAAAAAAAGATTTATTTCTCATCAGTGGAAAATGTAATTTATTTTTTGTTTCCTCAAATTGGAAATTAATTGACTTTAAAATTTTCCATTTCAGAATTAGCTAATTACCTTTCTGTTTTACATTTAGCAATAACATGCTTGATGGTGGGTTGGATGGAGAATACATCTGAGGAATATATTAAAGGTGATTAAGAAAAAATACTGTAAGACAGCTCTTACATCTGTTATGAATTCGTTTCTATATTTTGTTATTACCATAGGTGATGTGTTGCTACATTGTTGTGATTATAGTATGTTTTATTTTGTGGTGCTTTTATATAGTAATGTAAACTATTCAGTCATTGTGTTGAATATTGCTGAAAGCTATTGTTTTAATATATTTATAATTGAGGCATTTTTTAGCAAAAAGGGTGTGTAAATCTATCAGTTTTGAAAAATATCTGAAATTATTCAATACTCAGTACAATCAAGATATGAAACTTTTTTTTAAAATGAGCCTGCACAATTCCTTAAGTCTCTGCCATTCCTGCATACCTGGTAGCCACTGAGCTATATTCTGTTCCTTTATTTTTGCCTTTTTGAGGATGTCACATCAGTGGAACTGTTGAGTTGGCTTCAGTTAGCATCATGGTTTGGGAGCCATTCAAGTTGTGTATTCTTTTTATTTGAAGCATGGAGTTGTATACAACATGATTTTGAAGGATATTTTCTAGTTCTGGTCATTATGAATAAAGCCACTGTATCTATTTGCATATTGGCTTTTGCTTTTGCGTGAATAGAAATTTAAATTTCTCTCAGGTAATGGGATATTTTTAACTCTATGAGAAATGGTCAGACTGTTTCCATTCTGCCAGCAGTGTCTGAGTGTTGCAGCCCTCTGGATCATGTGGAGTTTGCTTTCAGCTTTAGTCAGTCTAATATATGTGTTGAGGTGTCCCAGATAGTATTACATATCTGTAGGGTAAACTTTTATGGTTTTTCTATTAGTTTCTGGCTCATTATATATTCTTAGTGTAAGTCTTCCATAAACGCATGTTCCTCAGTTATCTTTCGATGACTATGGCTTGTCTTTGCATCTTTATGACAGAATTTTTTGAAGAGCGGAAATTTTTCATTTTGATGTATAGAATCTTTTCTTTTATGGTTTATACTTTTCAGTGTTGTATCGGGATTACAAAGTTTTTTTTTTTTTTAAAGAAGTTTTATAGTTCCAGGCTTTATTTTTAGTCATATGATGCACTGAGTTTTGCAAATGCTGGAAGATTTAGCTTCTGCTTTATGGCTATGCAATGGCTCTAGCATCATTTATTTAAAAAAAAAAAAACCCTATATTTCATCCATCGAATTGCCTCTGCACTGTTTAAAAAAATAATCTAATGCATCCGTGAGTTTGCTTCTGGATTCTTTGCTTTGTCCCATTGCTCAGTGGATTACTTTGTCACTGAATAATGTGCTTTCATTTATTGTAAGTTTCCTGAAAGTTCTTGAAGTAAAATAGTATCAATCTCCAACTTGGCTGTTTCTCAAAATTATTTGTCTATTCTATGCTATTTGCATTTATATTTGAAGTCTACCAAAAGTTTGTCAATTTCCATAAAATTCTTGCTGAGAGTTTGATGGTGACTGAATTGAATGTATAAGATAAGTTTAGGGAAAACTATAATCTTGATAATATTGAGTATTCTGGTACAGAAACATGACATATTCCCATGTATTTAGGTCTTCCTTAATTTAGGTGATGTTTTGTAGTTTTCAGGGTATAAATGCTGACATGTTTCATTAGAGTTAGCACTGACTAGTTTGTTTTTTGGTGCTATTTGGTGTTTTAAAATGCCTGTTTACGTTTTGTTAATATTTATAAGAAACTTAATGTTTGGACGTTGAAGTTGTTTCCTCTAAGCTTGCCAGGCTTACTAATTCTAGTAACATCTTGTTTGTAGACTTTAAAATATTTTCTAGACAAT